ACTTATCCAGACTTAGCAAGACTTTATCCAGACTTTATCCAGACTTATCTAGATTTCTCCAGACCTTATCCAGCCCTTTGACCTCTCCGGACTTCTCCCAAACACTTTCCCGACTTCAAATACACTTTTCCAGAACTTATCCAGACTTGTCTGAATTTCACCAGACCTTATCCAGCCTTTTTCCGACGTTACCAGAAATTTCCAGGCTTTTCCAGACTTTATCCAGACTTGGGTAGATTTTTCCAGACTTTATCCAGACTTGTCTAGATTTCTCCAGTCCTAATAGAGCCTTTTCCAGACGTTTCCAGAAATTTTCTGGCTTTTCCAGACTTTATCCAAACTTATCCAAACTTTTCCAGACTTGGCTAAACTTTTTCCAGCCTTATCCAGACTTTATCCAGACTTGTCTAGATTTCTCCCGACCTTATCCAGCCCTTTCCTGACCTCTCCGGACTTCTTCCAAACACTTACCCGACTTCTATTATGTATAAGTAATTGCCTATCTATGAGTCGGCACTCAATGTATGCAAAAGCGGTAACAACCTTGAACTAACATAAACATATCGATTTTATATTCCGATTGCCTTATTTGCATAATTAAAGCGGTGACAACCTTGAACTAACATCTCGATTTTATAGTCAGAAAATAAATGCTAGCATAAGCAAGTTACATATTATTGTTTCGGGAGAACAAAAGGGTTTTTATTGAGTTCCAATATAATTTGACATCTGCAATGTTGAAAAAGCAAAAGTTCCGAATTGAATTGAATTCCATTTTTGTTTTGTAAACAACACTTAATAAACAGCATAGAATATTAACAGTCATTCTGCTTGGATTTTTTATTGTAATTTCTTTCATTTTTATTCGTAGAGGTAGAAACCATAATTAAGTTACTCTCAGTAAAACTAAAATATAGCTTTAAGTAATAATGTAATATCTGGTAATTGAAATTATTTTGACTCCTATTTAAATGCAGTACCGTTTCGAAGTGACGATACTTGTTCTCTCTATTTTGTATTTTTTTTTTCTCTGAAATCGAAGAAAACTTTTTTTTTCCTTTCTTTTTTTCTCCTGCTTAAATCTCACCCCTCAATTCTTACTACTTTTTTAGTCTTCACTCTTCTTCGTCGTCATCTCTAAGGTATAAATGTTAAGCTTTGCACATCTTAATGTTAGATCATTACTCAACAACTTTGATCTATTTAAAGATCATATCACTACTAATAAATACAGTTTAATTGGAATCTCTGAAAGTTGGTTGAATCCTAATATATCTGATCAGGATGTTTCTGTTGAAAACTATAATTTTGTAAGACGCGATCGTTTAGGGCGCGGTGGAGGCGTCGGTCTTTACATAAGAAATGATTTAGATTATTCTTTAGTTCTAAGTGAGTGTAGAGAGTTTGTTGAGCATGTGTGGGTTAAACTGAAGTACAATAATGAAGTTATTGTTGTGGGAAATCTCTATAGACCCCCTCAGGGTAGCCGTGTAGAGTTTCTTACCTATTTTGAGGATATTTTAATAAATTTCTTTGCAAATTCAGATAAAATTATATGTTTTGGAGACTTTAACATAAACATGCTAGACATTGATTCCGGATATGTAAGTCAACTTAATAATATTTTAGAAACATTTGGTTTAAATCAGTTAATTTCTGAACCAACTAGGATTTCGAATATTCAGGATGTAGGAGTAATTGATGTTGGCATATCCGATCATCTTCTTGTATATTGCTGTCTCCAGTTTTTGATGTCAGAGCCCGAAAAAATCGTTTATACATATCGACCTTTAAATCAAATTAACTTAATCAGATTTCAGGCAGATTTAGAAGGTGCTGATTGGAATATTTTATATGAGATAGAATCTATAGATCAAAAGGTATTATATTTAACTGACACTATATTGCACATTTTCGATATTCATGCACCCTCAAAAGTTTACAGAGGAAAAAAAAGACCCTACTGTCCATGGATAACTGACAACATAAAATACATGAAAAAACTCAGAAATCAAGCTTTAAACCGTTTTCGAAGGACTAAAAACCAAGAACACTGGAATTATTATAAGCAATTGAGAAATTACACAACATCGGCTATTAGATCTGAAAAAAAAGCTTACCTAAATTTTAAACTTCAAACTTGCAGCACAAAGGAAAAATGGAACGAACTTAAAAAACTTAATATCATAACAAATAAAAAAAGTAACACCATACCAAATAATCTGACAAATTTAGACCAACTTAATAAGTATTTTACGCAAATAAGAAATAGCAATGATATACCTAACCAAGAACTCATAAACTTTGATAAAAATAATTTATTGGTCAATGAAACTTTTTTTTTCAGCCAGTTAGCGAATATTTGATTTCCAAAATTCTCCTTAAACTCAAATCTAAAGCTCTAGGATCGGATAATCTCAATATAACGCTGATTACTTTGTGTTGTCCATTTAAAATTCCATTTATAACACACATTATAAATTGCTGCCTAAGTGAATCACACTTTCCCCAATCTTGGAAGTCCGCCAATGTAATTCCTCTCCCCAAAATTAAAAATCCTACCGAGTTTGGTCATTTACGATCAATTTCTATTTTAACCACTCTCTTAAAAATCCTAGAAAAAGTTATGGAACTTCAGATAAATACATTCCTCAACAACAATAACATAATACCCAGCAAACAATCCGGCTTTAGAGCGGGCTATAGCTGCTCAACAGCTTTGTCTGATTTAACTGATGATATAGTGCGGGCGCAGGACAACAGCAATGCTAGTGTGCTCATTTTATTAGACTATACAAAAGCATTTAATATGCTTCACCATGAAATTCTTCTGTCGATTTTAAAATACGTAGGCTTTAGTAAGTCGGCGTCTCTACTTGTCTCCTCATTCCTTTCAAAGAGATCTCAAAGAGTTACTCTTGACGGACAATATTCGGAATCTCTTAATGTCTTTGCGGGAGTGCCTCAGGGTAGTATTTTGGGTCCTCTTCTGTATAGTATATTCACCTCTAACTTTATAAAATCATTAAAATTTTGTCAATACCACTTATACGCAGACGATACGCAAATCTATTTATCTTTCAAACCTTCAGAAGTAGCTGCAGCCAATAAGCTGATCAATGAAGATCTGAAATCGTTGCTTGATGAATCAAATAAACATTTGCTCAAAATAAATCCTAACAAATCGGTAGCTCTCCTGTTTTGTAATGAAAATATTAGAAATGATCTTTTAGGCAATATTGAACTAAATCTAGGACAAGACACGATATCATTTAAAAATTCGGCTAAAAACTTGGGACTTGTCATGGATAGCAAACTCAAATTTAAAGAACACATAACACTTTGCTTAAAAAGAGCATATTCAGTTTTGAGGGGTTTATACTCTCATAGACACTATCTTTGTCAAAGAACTAAAACTTTGCTTTGCGACTCTTTAATTCTCTCGCATTTTAATTTTTGGATCACCTATATGGGCCTTTTTTGGATTTGATAGATGTTAGGAGAGTCCAAAAGGTTCAGAACTCTTGCATTAGGTTTGCGTGTGGAATAAGACGAAGAGACCGAGTTTCACACAAACTGAATGAATTGGGCTGGTTAAGTATGTTTAACAGGCGTAGTCTGCACTCACTATGCTTCTTTTATAAATTAATAAAATTTAAAACTCCACCATACCTACACAATAAAATCAAATATCGAACTGACATTCATAATTTAAACATTCGCAGGAAACAGCTTTTGACAATACCGTCTCACAATAAAGAATTCTTCAAAAAGTCATTCAGCTATTATACCATTGCCTCACTCATTAACAAATATGAAATAATTGATTTTTCTACATCTGTTGGTGTTTTTAAAAAAAGAATTAAATTAAAACTAATTTAAAATATAATATATTATATTTCCTGCTCTAGATAAATCGCCCTTAATTTCCTGCACATAAATAATTGGGTACATCATGAAATTCCTATCTGCTTTAATATTATTCTCCGCTCTAGTATATATATTATTCTCTACCATGTGCCCTCTTTTTCTTTTTCTTTTCTTTCCTTCTTTTCTCTATTTTTCCACCTCCTTCTTCTCTTTCTTCGTCTTACAGTTTAAGTATCAAGTGCGTTACTTGATTTTCATATTCATAGATCTTAGATAAGCCTTTCTTTATATTTTATTTTAAGCAATTTTTTGGGGCCTCAACAGCACTCATGCTTGCGTGGGATGCTGCAAATATGGCCTATTATTTCCCACATTTATCTTAGTTAACTGTTTGGAATGTAATTTTTCTGGAGATAATAAATATTATTATTATTATTATTATTATTATTAACTTTATCGCTGAATTTTAATGGGACATACAAAAATGAGTTGCATAACTTTATTACTTTGGCCAAGAAAGTGTCTCCACTAGAACAACATTGTTGGATGGTGTTGATATCGGTTTTTTTGAACATACAGCCGGATTTAACATCATGTATACACCAGCGTAACACACGCAAACATTCAATGTCAAAAATAAATAGCTTTATTGTTTTGAAGCATAATTTTTGGCGACAAAGCCGTACTGAAAATTAATTTCCCAACTTAAACAATATTCACTTATACATGAAAAATTCAATCATATTGTGGGACAAAAATGAGGTGTTAAATGATTTGCGGGAAAATTATCTGATTTGGCAGAACTTCGAACAGATGGGAGCTTCAAAAACTTTCTCCGTATGTCTAGTTTCTAGTTCTGATATGGAATTTTAAGTCAGAAAAATAGACCTCCTGATTCGGAAATCAGAATATTCATGGTTGCAAAATAAACCAAATGCAACTTTTTGTAATGAAGCGTCCACACTGTCTCTAACTTTAATTTTTGTTATTGTTGCTCAATTTTGACGCGTTTCACATTTTCCTTTGTTGCCTTGATGGAGCCGTAGCTTAATAATTGTAAAAAAAAAAACGTTTTTTTAAGATGAACCTATCTATGTTGAATTCGTCTTGCCAGAATCTTTTCATTGCAGACTTCCGCTTAGACCAATGTTGCTCCACTAGCAGAAAACTACTTGGCCCTATAACAGGTTCAAAATACTGTTTTTCAATAGTAGTACCAAAAGATGATCTTGACTTTATACCCATTGGTTTTGAGTGTTTCCCATTCTCAAGAACAACAACTGATCACGAATATGGATGTGGCCGTGAAAATGAATCTGTTCAACAGGTGAATTGCAAATACCAAAAAAAAAAAAAGAATTAATAAGTACATCAATGTCTGACATCATATTTAGATAAATGGTCACACAAGTTTCCTTGATTTATCTATTATTTACGGTGCTAACGCAGACGAAGGAGCATTTCTCCGTGTCCTGAAAAATGGCCTATTGAAATCTGAACATCGACTGGGTCAAAAATGGTTACCTAGGAGTACAAATATCACTAGAGATTGTATACTAGGGGATCCAAAAGAACCGTGTTATGATGGAACAGGCAATCAGTTTATTTCCGGAAATTATCTTTCTCGTTTAATAGGATCTTTCTAGGTGACGGACGAGTCAACCAAAATCCTCAACTCGCAATACTGCAAACAATACTTCTTAGAGAACACAACCGAATAGCGGATAGATTAGGAGCAATAAATCCTCATTGGGACGATGAAAGGACATTCCAAGAAGCAAGAAAAATCATCATTGGGCAGCATCAAAAAATAGTTTACTATGATCTTCTACCATTGTTAATTGGTGAAGATAATATGAAGAAACATAAACTCATATATACATCGAAAGGTTACGTAAATGATTACGATCCTACTATCGATCCTTCAATTATAAACGAACATGCTGCAGCCGCTTTTAGATATTTCCATACTTTAATTAATGGACAACTGAAGTAAAGTTTAATCCTATTGCTTATTATAGTTTAATTATTTTTTTTTATAGTATGTTTAATGAAAAACGGCTGAACGAGGGCGGAATCCGTATTAGCGATTACATTGTGAGACCTTTAATTTTAGAAAATCGTAGAACAAGTTTCGATGATCTGACTAGAGGTCTGGCCACTCAATCGATGTTGGCTGCAGATGAATATATATCGAGAGAGGTAAGAGTTATTCAAGTATTCATTTATCACAATGTAGATTTTCATGCCCTAAAGGTTTGTATGGTATAGGAATATAAAAAGCTGACAGATCTAGAAAGACCTGTTATTATACACATAACAGAAAATTATTTTTTCTACAAACGTATTAAAAATGCAATTTTTAACACCGCCCCGAAGCATTAAAAATGTTACTTTATCGCACTAGTGCCATAAAGTCTTTATAGCACTAGTGTTAAAAGTGAAACATCAAATTTTGAGAGCGGACGTCAAAAAAAGTTTGTATTTTCAGTTATTTAAATTGATATTAATGGTGCAATTTGAACAACTGAGGTAGCCCGATTGGCCGCCTCATCTATATTTTTCGAAGGATCGATGCAACCCTCTTTTTCTTCTGTATTTTGTTGCGTTTTTAGCAAAAAGCATTCCTGACCACGACAGACTTTAAAGAAACTGAAAAGACATTTCGTTACCTGTAAAACAAGGTGCTGGTTGTATGGATTTTTTGACAAATGTCAAATTCGAGAGTTTTATGTAGGAAAGATGCTTCCAATTTATTATTCATTTAAAAATCCAATTCGTTACTGGTTATTGCTTTTTATTACGGTTTGTAGAAAAAATATTGTATGATATTTGTGTTAAAAGTATTTTTAAGGCACTTATGTGAATTGCAGAATTCGCTTCGCTCATTCTGCAAACTTTCACATGCGTGCCTTAAAAATGTACTTTTAACACTTATATCATAAATAACTATTATTTGCAATCATATATGTAATCTTGACATTACTGGTTCTTTAAAAATTTGGAAGTGTCACTTCACTTGTGTCACTTCCCTCTTCGATTTCCCTCACCGATTTCCCTATTCGACTTCCCTCACCGATTTCCCTCACTGTAATTTATTTACCTTTGCTGGCAACAATGAGAACATGTCAGGTATAAAAACGTCAAAACAGTGAATGACAAATGTTGGCATGTTTGTTTTATTTTTTTAATATTAAAAAAATTGAATGACTAATCATAATTAATGGTGTGCTTGCAAATAAAATAGTATACAAACCTCAAAGGAAAGTTTTCATTTCTGTCTCGAGATTAATAGTCAATCTCGACGCTCCGCGTCTCGATTGACTATACCGGGTGTTTATCAAAACCCGCTCACCCCTATAACTTTTTTATTTTTCCAGATAAACAAATGAAATTTGGTGTGTTTATTTATGACCCGGATGTGCATTATTTGACGTATTTAATTTTTTACTATCACTTCCGGTTTGGCCGGAAGTGACCCTAACTTTCTTATTTCAAATGAGACGCTAGGTATATTTTTCCTCATTTTAATAGAAAAATACATTACAAGTACAATGACACCTCATTTATCACTTTATGACATTTCATCACCAAATTATTTAAATTTTTACTTTTAAATATAGAGCACCATGAATAAGTCAAAATGCTTAATTTTGCTCCTAGGAACATGGGAAAATTTGTTTTGATCTTATTTTGTATTTTGTATCTCCTACAGACTCATTTAAAGAAAGTAGATGCGCATTTTTAGAATTATATCAGTTTTTTCAAATGGAAAGGGTATGACTCATGAGCATGTTCCAAAAGTGCGTTTTCTAACGGGCAATTCAGTACCACACAATCGCTAGTTCATCACTCTAATTAAGAATTTTTCTAGCATTCTAAATATTTTTGGAAAATTTCAGTTCAATATTTGAATAAACTAGCGATTGTGTGGTACTGGATTATTTGTTAGGTAATGCTCTCTCGAAATATGCTAATGAGCCATCATACCCTTTCCATTTGAAAAAATTGATATAATTCCAAAAATGCGCTGCTACTAACTTTAAATGAGCCTTTAGAGGATATTAAATTCAAAATAAGCTCAAAACAAATTTTCCCATGTTTCTAGGAGCAAAATTAAGCATTTTAACTTATTCATGGCGCTCTAGATTAAAAAGTAAAAATTTAAATAATTTGGAGGTGAAATGTCAAAAAGTGACAAATGAGGTGTCATTGTACTCGTAATGTAGTTTTCTATTGAAATGAGGAAAAATTTACCTGGCGTCTCATTTAAGATAAGGAAGTGTCACTTCCGGTCAAACCGGAAGTGATAGTAAAAAATTGAATACGTCAAATAATGCACATCCGGGTCATAAATAAACACACCAAATTTCATTTGTTTATTTGAAAAAATAAAAAAGTTATAGGGGTGAGCGGGTTTGGAAAAACACCCGGTATAAATCTCTCGACAGTAATGAAACACTATTCGGTATGTAATATACTATTCTAGAATATCTACGATTTTTCCTAGGCTTTCCGGTTGTTGAAGAGGAATGCTTCAAAGCAAGCGGCCTTTATTTATAACATTGCCTTTCTCTTAAACCTGATTGTTTCGATCAGAAGTTTGGTTTTTAAGGTGAGCTCCAAGTGAAACACTTTCATGTTGCGTTTGGGGCTGCGTTAGATCCTGTATAAGTACCCATATACTTTAACTTTTTTAGAACGACGTGTCTGTTTCATCTTGCGTTACTTTTGGTGACATAATTTTCCCTTTGTGCAGCACTTTATCACCTCGTCTTCTACCTAATTGACCTTAGGGCCTTCATTCGGACCTTATAACTCATCATCGCTTTGGTGCCAAGAACAATACATCAAAGGGTCGCTGAAGCTCTCTTTCACACTAAACTTTTGCTGGAGAAATCTTTTGGATCGCTGCTCGATATGCCAATAATCTTTCTTCACACAACGACCAAACGGAGATTTTTTTTTCAATTATGTTTTATCGGATATCTCAGCCATGCCATCTGGCAATGACGTCATTCTAGTCCTAATAATATTGTCACGAAGCCTCTCTTGCTCCGCTACGTAGCTCGACTAGTCACCCTGAAAATCAGAACGGGAAGGGAAAGGGAACACCAGAATAACTCTAGATAAATATAATATTTCTAATGTTAGGATAGATATTACATTTAGAGTAGAAATACAAGTATTACCATATTGTTACCATCCCAAGCCAGCACGTCCCTTCGGGCTGAAAAGGATCTAAGAGCACCTGAGCGAATCTGTCGGGCATAAGCCCAAGCTTGATCTTTGTGGTCAGCACTTGCTAAGAAAACCAAACCAACACTACAATAGAAGCTAGGAAGCCTGTACTGCAGAGCAGAGTCTGGGTCGTCAGATGAAAACGGCTCGGACAGAGATACGATACGCAATCCCTAGGCGAGTTCGGTTCGGTTCGCGAGCGAAAAGATGACTGGCCCCACGTGATCAGTTCTATTACTTCAAATGAAAGATCACGTGAGCTTCTGTCAACAGTGTCACTTTTTAACTCGCAGAGGATTAACCGAATTCGCCTCCTATTCGGTCAGATAGCTTCCGGTGAATTTGGTTGTAGCCCGTGGTCCCATGTAGGGTTGACAATACCAAGTATTGCTTACTTTTTAAGTTTCTGGAAAAGCTTGGATTCAAAGTTCCGTCTTCTATTATAGTGCCGTTCCAGAAAAATGCAAAGCCTGTAGAACAGGTTGTCTACTAGAACTTGAAGCTATTTGATTGGGGATGTTAAATACATCCCCAGACCATTCACTGAAATAGTCCATTGGAATTAAGATGTATTTGCCACCAAAGGGGAAGGTGTATTGATAGCAATTCAAAAGGGTATTTTTAGCTCAATGCTGCGACTCACCCAGTACTATTGAACAGTTATTCGTCAGGGTGCACTCGGGGAATAGAAAATTATTGCTTAGTGTAGTTTACCTACCACCTAGATCCAATAGCCAGGATTACAGATATTTTTCGGACTCAGTGGAAACTTTGTCGAATACATTCCCAGATTAAAAGCTTTGCATTTTTGGTGACTTCAACTTACCCAAGGCACAATGGGGTAGACTGTCTCAGTTCTGCAGCTGTTGCTGTTGCTGCTAAGTCTTCCTACCTCAGAGCGTGAATCCACCAATGTTTATCCAATTTATTATGATTTTGGGTCTGCTGACTACACACTCCTCAATGATAACCTTGGGATGGTTCGCTGAGATGACTTACTCCGGGGTCTCGATGTGATGGAAATGACAAGGATTTTCTATGACATTATCCATATGGCTATCGATTGTTGTGTTCCAAATAAGAAGCTCTCAAGCTATAAATTTCCACGATGATTCTCCCTTGAACTAATAAAAGGACCTAATAATTAAGAAGAAAAGTGTCGACAGAACTTGGAGCAAACGGGTTCCCCTGCTGACTATGTTGAATTTTCAAACCTTCGGGCTCAGTGTGAGACTCCTTTCCAAAGATTGCTATACAAATTATGTCATAAACTTAGAAGTGTCATGTTAAAGCCTTTGACCGTGTCAACCACAACGTCCTACTTGCGAGGCTTGAGAGAATTGGAATATCTGGTACTCTACTTACGTGGATCAGCGACTACCTTAGGAACAGAACCCAAACCGTCAAGGTCATCAACTTCTGCTCTCAGCTCATTGACATCCCCTGTGTACCAAGAGGATCTCACCTGGGACCCCTGCCATACAATATTTTCACAAACGATATTGGTTCTTGTTTAATAGTGAGTTTCTGTGTTTGGCCGATAGCTTAAAGATACTCGCCCGAGTCTCCTCCCACGAAGACTGTGCCAGACTACAATCTGACTTGGATAGACGTTCCGAATGGTGTGTCACAAGTAGCATGGAACTCAATGCCTCTAAATGTTAAACTATCGTTTTCTCCAAAAGCCGAAGCCCCATATAATTTGTTTACCACATAATCAATGAACCACTTGAAACAGTGTCCCAAAAACGTGATCTGTGTTTCATTTTTGATAACACGTTAAGTTTCTCTAGCCACATTTCGGATATCGCTACCAGGTCTCTAAAACTGTTGGGCTTTGTTAAGAGGTGTTCAAGGTTCAAGGGACTTCTCTAACATCTCTTCCATCAGGCTTCTCTACTGCACTATGATAAGGCCCATCCTGGACTACTACTCCTCGGTTTGGTCACCTCTATGTATTCTTTCCACATCAAGCCTTGGAGCAGGTGCAATTTGTACGGTACTTGGCCTTCAAGGCAGGTATTATACTCCTCCCGAAAATTATATCTACACGATGGTGACCTCTACCGTCGCTTCAACCTGCAACCCTTAGCCGCCAGACAAATCAAAGGGATTTATTAACATTTTTCAAATTACTAAACTCTCACAACGATTCCATATATCTATATCCAGAATTGGACTTCATGCCCCAGCAACAACTAAACGCTCTTCCACTACCTTCTCAGAAAAGATCCACTGGACTAACTATGGTTCGAACACTTTTATTTCCAGAGCTTCCCGAATCTCTAATGAGTTCAATACCCTGGACTTTTTCAGTACTCGTGAAGACTTTAAAAGAGAGCTTAACTCCTTAAATAAAGTTCCTGTACCTATTAATTGTTAAGGGCCAAATTATGGACCAACTGGTAAGTGTCTGGTTGTTACCTAGTAGGTACTTTCTATTCTCTAGTGCATAGAAAGTACCTGCTGGCCCTAATGTGATATTTAATAATAAGAAATAATTTTATTGTAAGCAATGTTCGCCATCTTGTCACGTTGTTGAGTATCTTTTGTTTTTCTACATATTTTAATTCTTGTTTACTTAATTTGTTGTCTAAACGTCTAATGATTGTAAATAGATGTTCAGTATGCTATTATGGAATTTCCCGTCAATAAATAAATATTTGTTGCTTTTCTTTATTTTAGAAAAGACTTGTCAAATGATAATCCCACATTGTACTGCTTAATACAGCATGGATTAAGTATTCGATTAGACGAGGACATAGTCGGCATCAAAATTTTACTCGGGATTTCACATCCTCACAATAAGTGACCGAATAATATTGGTCACGAATTTTGTTTATCTTATTGACGATGGATAACTGATGTTCCTATTCAGTTAAGCGACCCTAGTCTTAGGTACCTACGTACCACCAATTGTTACATTGGCACTCTTCCAGGAGTCCCAGGCACACTCGCAACGAATCCATAATTTCTTGAAGGCAAGGATTTACCTACTGGATATTTAAAACTTTTTGGTTTCGTTTTTTTTGCAATATTATGCAGTCGCCCTGACCTCTGTTTAATTTTGAAGTTATACGCCAGCAATTTCTCCAACCATCTGTTTGCAATTTGCCTTTCTGATAGTTTTATATCCATCAACCATTTGACTGCTGCATGATCCGTTCTAATTAGTTATTGGTATTGTTATTCTGGCAATTCATTGGTAAAGTACGATTTCAGGTTTAAAAGTGAATTATTGAGTTGTCGCTTAATTAGTGTGTCATGACATGACTCTCTAATCTGTGTCATTGTTTCAGCCTTGAGAAAGACTTAAAATGTAAGCAATTTTTAGATAAAAATTGGAGTTTCATTATTGGTCCTAAACTTCCTGAAGGACTATATACCTCTTATATAATAATATATAAATATTTCTTCAAAATTTTCAATGCCAAAACAGATATAGTACTTCAACACTGTTTAACACACTAAATGGCCACCCTCTGCATGTCATTGACAAGGCAAACCGGAATCCATCCTAGAGCTCATGACCTAAGACTAAGATAAAATACCAATCACTTTTAAAGTTATACGATGCTCACAGCATTGCAAAAAAACTAATTCAGAACCTTGTATAATAAATTTTAAATTATAGATGACAAACAAGTTTGGAACACAACCAGGAGATTTAGTAGGGCTTGATTTGATAGCCATTTGTATCCAGAGAAGCAGAGATCACGGTTTGGCAACGTATAATGATTTAAGGCAATATTGTGGCTTGCCAAGAGCAAATTGTTTTGAGGATTTACTTGATGTCATTAGGAAAGAGAATATACAAAAACTAGAAGAGCTCTATAAGAGTCCAGATGATATCGATCTGCTCGTAGGAGGGTCCTTGGAAAAGTTGGTGCCTGGAGCTCGAGTTGGGAAAACATTTTTGTGCATTATTACTGAACAGTTCATTAGGACCAGAAAGGGAGATCGTTTTTTCTTTGAAAATTCTGGCGACATTGGTAAGGGTCAAAAAAATGCTCTCAATTTTATTTTTAACTAAATTGAGAATTTATGTAGGTTTCACTTTGTCACAACTTCGAGAAATACGAAAAGCTAGTATCTCAAGATGGCTTTGTGATAATACCAACATTAAACGGATACAACCCAATAGTTTTGTACAAATATCAACTGAGTGAGTAAAAAATTTAATCTCAGTGATTATTGATTGATTTAAAAACGATTTTGCTTCTAGAAATGAGCTAGTTGATTGCAATGATTTGCCCTTGGTGAATCTTAAGTTATGGAAAGAATGGTAGAATAATGCTGCATATTTTATCCAATAAATAAAATTCGAACTCCATTTGATAAATGTAGTTTTATTGAGCAAGAAAAATATTTTCATGGCACTATATGCAATTTTGCCCCAATTTAACTGAACCTGTATTTCTTACCGTTCCCAATATCCCAATGGTTGCCCTTGAAAAAGGACACCCTGTATACATATGTTTGATATGTTTTAATATAAATGTTTTTTGATCTATTTTTAGGATTATGCATGCTATTTTGGCAATGATTTTATATTTCATTATTTTGGGAACTTCTTTTAATATTGCTTGTAATAATTATCAAAGTTTTATCACTGTTATTATTTTTGTTTCTTCTTCAATTATCTGCTATTCCTTTTCATTTTCTTCTAAGAGCTTTGTTAAAAACAATGACAGCTTAACACAGATAGACACCGCATCTCATTCATTGAACTGATGTTTGTTATGATGACAAGGCCCCCCATTGACCAGGAGAGGTGAGCTGCTCGAGGGGGATCATGGTAGGGATGCAGCAATGGTGTAAAAAAACCCGCCTTCCTTTCTGAACCGGTCATTCACTTGTCAAAATAATGAAGAAATGCGTGCAACTCGTTCATCTATCTATCTGCCTCTAACTCATATGATATAAGTTCAATGGGCGCGTTGACATGCCAATCGATTGCAGCACGTGTTCCGCCCAAGAGTCGTTTTTAGTCTTGGAAGCACCAGTTTTTTGAAAGCATTGTCATAACAGGATAAAATTTGATTCTTAACAATTTGGCAACCTAATTGGAGGGGATCCGATACACCGGTGGTGGATCACTCTCCTAGATGTTGGCAGCACAAAATTTTGTTTACTGTAATGTCTAAAGTCCGACAAATACCATTTTAAAGTCACGTGATATTGGTGGCAAAAAACGTATGTTCATTGATTATGTCGTTGATATCGGGTCTTAAAAAAAAACCAATCGAAGATTGCTAAGTATGGTTTTTTAAACGTATGTCTTAGCAATCTTTGTCTTTAATTTTGTCAATGAAATTTAATGTCAAAATGTCCTGTCAAAAATCCTGACGAATAAAGAAACAGTAATGCGACGTACGTTTTCGTAGTCAAAGCAATCTTCGATTGGTTTTTTTTTGAAGACCCGATATCACCTACAAAAAGCTACTGGTGGTTAATTACTATTGAATTTTAAGTTATGTTCCCACTAGCATTTCACAAACGCGTTTCTGAAGTAGTATTGACCAATCAGATGGGAATTTTCGAGGGAATTTTAATACTTGCAATTGTTGCGAGACTCAATTTTGTTGCTTTTGCTGCCCCTTGTACTACATTCTGAACTTGAATTGGGTGCCCGTTTTCTATTTCCTTCTTTTAGAGTTGGAAAAAGGTTAATATAGGCAAAATTATTAGCTGTGTTTGTTCATTGTATCATTTTCGAAAATAACTTTGACAAACTAATTGATGACAGTGACGGATTCTATCAGGAAAGAATTTTATGAACAATAGACCTATCTATTTTTACCTGGATGCGCGCGCAACACGAGGCAATGCATTTTTATTGGCTAACTAATACAGGTGAAAGGTGTTCGTTTTGCACGCTGGGCATCTCCTTGTCTTTGTTCATTGCCTGTGGTCTGACAAGGATCAGAATTATGGTTGATAAATAACTTGACGTAGCTTGACAAGTGATCGATTGTCAATTGTTTGTGTTTTTGATTGACAAATACGTTGCACGTCACGCGGTTCTCCTCATTCCCTTTTTATCCCGTGCAAATAATAAGAAGGGATTGCTATACGTAAGTCTAACATGGTTTGGTACGTTTTGCCTCGTCTTGCGCAATAAGCGTTCTGCGTCTTTTTCTATCTAAAACAGTTTTCGTATTATTACCTCTTTGTCTGGTAAAATATATAAAAATATATATATATAGATAGGTCTATAATTAGACACCAATTTTTTTGTCAATTTTACTATCAAAAAATCAAAAAAAAAAAACTTAAAATTTTAAAATAGAACATTTTCGGCTTGTCGATACATATACAGGGTGTCTCACGGTGGATGGCGTGTTAGACGTTTATGGGAAACTGAAAAGCGGATCATTTTGAAAATTTGGCAACCGGGATAAAAGACCATAATCTACACTTTGAAAATATTTTTGTTTATGCGGTGTTGCCGCTTCTACGTTAAACCAGTGGCAACATCGCTATTTTAAATAGAACACCCTGTATGTGATTGCGTATTTCGATTCTACGTATAATTCTAAGCAGATTTCATGTGAAATACCCTATACCTAAGTTCAACTGTTTTGGAAATATTGACACTTGAAAATTGACTTTTTGCAACTTTGACAGGCTGTAAAACCTAAACGGTTAATTTTAGAGGATTTTACATTCCTATCTTAGACTTTTATAAACTATCATTTCACACCAACTTTGAATTTAACCGGAGATTAATTGGAATTTTTAATCATGGATTAAATTCACAGTTGGTGTGTCAAATGATAGTTTATAAAAATCTAAGATAGGAACGTGAAATCGGTTTTCCTCTGAAATTAACCGTTCAGGCTTTACAGCCTCTCAAACTTGCAAAAAGTCAATTTTCAACTGTTAATATTTCCAAAACAGTTGAACTTAGATATAGGGTATATCACATGAAATCTGCTCAGAATTTTACGTAGAATCCAAATATGCAATCACATACAGGGTGTTCCATTTAAAATAGCGATGTTGCCATTGGTTTAGAGTAGAAGCGGCAACACCGCACGAACAAAAATATTTTTAAAGTGTAGGTTATAGTCGTTTATTCCGGTTGCCAAATTTTCAAAATGATCTATTTGTTGGTTCTCCATAAACGTCTAATACGCCATCCACCGTGGGACACCCTGTACATATACATACATAACAAAAACGACAGGAGCAAGATGACGAACTGACCAATCCATAAATATTAAAATTAAAAAAAATATATAAATTAAATTCAAAACTTAAAAGTGAAAAATACAAAACACACTTAATACTAAAGTAAAATATCCTTAGATTGCCTACAGAAAGTCTTATAATCAGTCAAAAATATCAATGTCTTCATTTTTTTGTAACACTAAGTTTGCAATCCTACACATCCTATCTATGGGCATATTAACGCCATAATTGGTCCTATGAAAAGGAAGGCTAAACAACTCTTTCCGACGAGAGGTCCTAGAGGGAATATGAAAGTCAATCTCTGCAAGAAGATCTGGGGTATCTATTATGCCATGCAAAATCTTAAAAAGGGTATAGACATCAAATAATTGTCTTCTATTCTCAAGAGGAGTAAGATTTAAAAGCTTCATTAAGTCATCACAGTTAATATCTTCATAAGGAATACCCATCTTAAGCCCAACCCTCCTAAGAAATTTTCTCTGCACCCTTTCCAAACTCTGCCAAAACACTATAATAAGGCTGCCAAACGGAAGTAGCATACTCCAACAGTGAACGTACTAAGGCACAGAAGACTTTCTTTAAAGTAAAAATATTATCAATTTCTCTCAGAGTTCGAAAGACAAACCCGAGCATCCTCATTGCTTTGTTTGTGGTTTTTTTAATATAAGTGTTAAATGATAGATCACTCTCTATCCATACGCCGAGGTCTTTAACTAAGGTTTTTCTTTCCAACTCTAAATTATTGATTGAGTAATTAAAATCTGCTAAATGTGATAAAGTTACATTTTTTGACATTTAGTTGAAGATTATTTACTGAACACCATGTGGTAAACAAGTTAAGATGCTCTTGCAAAGATTGACAGTCCAGCTCATCGATCACAATCTTATAACACACTAAAATCACAGTCCTTGAAAATCAATTTAACATCATTCACAAACAAATTAAAAAGTATGGTTGACAAGTGCCCCTCTTGAGGTACCCCTGATGTCACTACAATTTCAGATGATGTAAAATTTTTCATTTTAACAGCCTGTCTTCGGTCTTTTAAGTTGCTTTCGAACCACCTAAAAAGAGAGCCAGAAAGTCCCACAGCATTTAGCTTGGATAACAAAATTCTGTGATCCACTCTGTCAAACTATCACCGCTGTTTGAGATGTATTCAACAAGGATAGAGAAAAATCACGTGACTTTAAAATGGTATTTGTTGGACTTTATCTGTGTTAAGGCTCGTTTTCACGGTGAGAGTACTCTCATGACAGCGCTCTCATGATAGTCACCTCGATAGTCCTATCGTGAAAGTGAGGTGTCTACACCTACCAAAAACTATCGTGACAGTAATCAATAGCAAAATGGCCGATACGCAGTTAACTGACGCGGTAGCTGCTGTAATTGGTGAAATAGTTAAAATTAAACGAAAAAGAAATAAAAAAACCAAGAAGATATGGGTGAGAAAATGGATTGCAAGAAGGAGGACACTTGGTGCTTCAGAAATACTTCTCAAGGAACTTGCTGTAGAAGACCCAAGAAGTTTTTTAAACTTCTTACGCCTGAATGAGGAAATGTTTAATACGTTACTGAATAAGGTAAGCAAATTTTGAAGTGATATAAAAGCCGTTTAACTAAGTACCTATGTTTTTTAAAGGTTAGCAGCAAGATACAAAAGAATAATACTGTTATGCGAGAACCTTTATCAGCAAAGCTAAAACTTCAAATAGCTTGTCGATATCTTGCTACTGGCGACTCACTGGGATCTTTGCAGTACCTTTACCGAGTTCCAAAATGTACCATAAACCAGTTTCTACCAGACGTCTTTGATGCCATATACGAAGTGCTGAAAGATTATGTTATGGTACGTTCGTAATCATTAATTAACACATACTAATTACCTAATTTATTTTTATTATTATAGTTATTCACAACCCTAATTACCTATAATATGTCTTTTATAAAACAAAAAAAAAAATACAAAAGAAACAGTATATTTCATAAAAGTTTTAAGCATAAGATAGGTAGGTATCTATTCTAAATAAAAATCGTAACTATCTTCATCATCTCCAGTTCAATTCTTGAAAAAATTCATGAGGCGTGGCTCTGGTTTCTGCACCTCATGCAGGCTATGATATTGTTCATTTCCTGAAGAATTTGACGGCTCTGTATCTTGTTGTAGATCCCTTACTGAGCTAGAAGTGGCCTGTGTTTCATTGTCAGATGAACTCTGCGTTTGCACACAACGTAGGCGAACATTGGTTATTAGTTTCTGGATATCCTGCTGTAGTAATATTGCATCTTGTAATGGAAGGCACTTAAGTTGGGAAGAAACATGTTGTCCAAAGGCATCAAATTCATTGGAAGGAACAGACGATTTTTGGGATGCCACCTGTTTCAGAACTTTCACAGCCTGGTCCAAAGAATCATCCTCCTTATTTATTCCTTTACTCGCGGGCCTTTTGCCACTTGTCTTTGTTTTTCTCGTTGACGAAAGGGGTTTCTTCACACTCCCTATAGGCTCTTGTGTCGACTCTTCATTTGCTGTTCCAGGCCGTGCATTGAAACTTTTGAAACTTGTCTGTGTATTTCTTACTGGGTTGACAGAAGGGGTTTCTATATGCTCCCCTGGCTCTTGCGTCGGTTCTTCATTTAATGTTGCGGGCTGTGCATTTGTCTGATTTTCTTCTGGAAATTGTTCTGGCAACATCTGCAACAAAAACAATAATAAAATATTATTTTCAATTTATTTCAATTGCTAATAACAATAATAATTAATAAATAAAATATTATTTTCAATTGATTTTTCTTTTCCAGGTACCACAAAGTGAGAACGAGTGGAACAAAATTATAAATGGATTTGAAACTTGCTGGAATTTTCCCAAATGCATAGGAGCAATTGACGGTAAACATGTTTTGGTCCAGTGCCCTGCTAATTCCGGTTCACAGTACTTTAACTACAAAGGCACGTTTAACATTGTACTGCTGGCAATGGTGGATCATAATTATAATTTTACTTTTATTGATATTGGGAGTTATGGCAGCATTTCAGATGGCGGAATATTTGCTAAGTCCTCTCTTCAAAAAGCGCTTGAGGGAAATTTATTGCATCAACCTGACGGATCCGTTATATTAGGAGATGAAGCATTTCCACTTAAAACATATTTAATGAAGCCCTATCCCCGACGAAACCAATTAACTATTGCACAGAAAGTCTTCAATTATAGACACTGTAGAGCGAGACGTGTAGTAGAAAACGCTTTTGGAATCATGTCATCTCGTTTTCGTGTATTCAGATCCCCAATATCACTTGCTCCTCAAACAGTAGTGAAACTAATAAAAGCTGCATGTGCCTTGCACAACTGGATACGAAAAGTGGGAAATGATGTAGTAACAGCAGATATTGAGGAACATGCAACAGGTCGAATAATTCCTGGATCTTGGCGCAATGATCCTAGACCAAATGGTGTCGTTGATGTAAGAGCAGCTTTGCAGCGTAACTATTTGCCAGAAGCTCGACAAAGAAGAGAAGACTTTGCTGACTATTTTACAGGGACAGGAGCACTCGATTGGCAGTACAAAATGATAGAATAACAATCGAGAGAAGACACCGAAATAAATAATTTGACTACACTTCTTTCAATATTTATATAATTTAGGATGTAAATAATTGCGAAACATTAAATAAAACTTACCAAATTAGATTCTGAGTCATTTTCTTCCAAATTGTGCCTTAGAAAACTATCAGCTACGGAGAACCATATAAGTTTTGGTTTATATACGTAATTAGCACCCGTTCCAGTTCCCATAGACTTCTTTATTTTTGCCACTTCTTGATTATATGTACATCTAATGCTCCTAATTTTCTGCCTAAGTTCTTTAATTGTAGAAGGTCCTGATAAGGGCAGCAGAGTTTCTTCTGCATGATCCCTCTTCACTCTGTTTTTGAAATCTGCCGAGCTTTTCTTCCATAACATGGAAACCTCTCATATTCTTCCAGAAAATGTATAACGTCAAATCCCTGCTTAATTTTATCAAAATAATTTCCGATATTTTGATTTTTCGCCATCGTGCCGCTATAAAAAATCACTACTTTCACGAAAGTATTCCCAACTATCTAGTCAAGCGAGATAGTGCGACAGCACTGTCGCGACAGCATGATAGCTACTATCGGGTTGTTTACATGGTGATAGTTTGTGCGATAGTTACTATCACGACAGCAACTATCGCAAAAACTATCACCGTGAAAACGACCCTTTAATCACATTCGAATTATATAGTTTGATAGCTTTTCGGAAATATATAATTTAAGGTGAATACTTACCTACATAATTCAAAGTTGTGAATATTAACTTTATCTTTAAGCATTTTCACAGAGTTGTGGTATCATGAAACCGGGTTACTCTGGTCTGTCATTAATGTCAGTTAAAACCGATGGGTATCAGAAGGGTATCAAATGTTTTGATATCATTATACCGTCGTTGTTTGTTGATGTTATTGTTAATATGAATACAGCTTGAAATAAGCAGCAAATGTGACAGTGGAATATCGCAAAATAACAACCTCCCTGTTTCATATGCAGATAGGTTCAATGTCGGAATATGTGCATATGTCGGAAAAGCTTACTTTTGAGCATTATTGAAGAATAAACGCACTAAAATAACTTAATTATAATAACACAAAACTAAAACAAATCAGCGAAATTCAGCATTCATTCATTCAATTACATAAATGAGCCAAAATCAACGCCTCATACCTCGTCTTCATACCATCATCCCGAGATGGTTAGAAGATTAACGGACCTAATTGAAACCAGGTTGTCGAATGACATACCGAAACACTTTGTGAAAACGAGTGGTATGTTATGGTTCATGATACCACATTCATACCAAAACTCGTGAAAACGCTTTTTTTTATATTTTTAGAAACAATTTGGTAACTTGAGCTGTTGTCACAACTCAATTCAACATTGTGGAAAATAAAGAACATAAAAATGAATTAAACTATTGAAAACGATTTTTTAAATGTGCTATTTATTAATACCTGCCAACTTAAAATTATTATTCCGATTGTTCAGGTGGAAAATAAGGCTTTGGTGTTCTATAAGTAAACTTATACTCTTCCCGTCTATGATAGGGTTCATATGGATCATCGACATAGTATTTTGGCCTTCTCCAAAAGTTATTAACCATTTTGTCCAACATATAACTTTGGGTAGAGTTACAAAATACATGTTGCCTCAGACGTCTTCTTCTTGGAGGGCTTTTCTTCCATAATTTCTTATTGCAACCGGCTATTCTTCTTATCCATATTCCCCAATTTAATCTGTAAAATCTGTGGGGAAGAATTGAGGAATTATTACTGGTACATAGCAGAAGATTTTAATTTTATTAGAGAACATCTTGGATTCTTAACTATTACTGATGCTGCGCCTATACGCTTTGCTTACCTTGCTGTAACCGCACTACATGTTTTCCTTTTCCCTTTTCTCATTGAATATTTCGTGATCGTTCTAATATTTGTAATAGGTACGGCGTTGAAAGTGGGATTATTAACAAGGGGGCCACTAACTTTAGATTGCAGTAGGGAAAAATACCTTTGAAACGTAGAAGGAACCAGTTTAGGTTGTGCAACCCCATTTTGTAATAAGGGAGCCCTAGGAATCGGTAAACGTGATACGTTTCTTGCTAACGAAATCGCCCATTGAATCATTTTGCTTTGATTTGTAGTGGTAGTCTTTATTTTAAATTTTTTTCATTGATTTTTTTAAGGTTAAGGATTCGACTGCTGTACCGCCGCGGCAGTTCAATCAATAGGCGCTTTCCGAAATTCACCGATGATAAATTAACCGGGGCTGCGTTCAAAAACGGCTAAAGCAAGCTAAAATCGGTATATTGCGTTCAAGTTCGGCTCCAGCGTGCGAAGTTGGAGAAGGTGGCGAGTGTAAGGTATCTGGGCTTGATAGTTGATGATAAACTGAATTGGAGAGAACCAATGACATCAAAACACAGTGTTTTGATGTCATTGGAGAGAACACGTTATTAGTCTCAATGAAAGGGTTGTTGCCATGATTCCATATATATTTAGAATTAGAAATTACATTACCAATAGAACCAAAACGCTTGTATACAATGCTTTTTTCTTATCACATTTTCGATACCTAATGCCAGTGTGGGGAACGTGCGGCCGAGTTAATTTTGAATCTGTCCAGGTTTTGCAGAATAAAGTGCTGAAAGGTCCTGCATAGCCTTGACAGACTTACTCGGACTGACACTCTATGGGGCTTTTGACGCTTTACATACTGCTAAACTGGATAGAATTTTAGAATTTGAGCAATGCAAATTAATGCACAAAATAATAAATAAACGGCAAAAAACAAATTCTCTATTTTTATTTAATAATGAAATACATAGTTACTCAACAAGAATACAAAACAGTATCTATCATGCACAGAACAGAACAAATGTGGGCATTAGCGATCCATTTTTTCAGTTGTCATTAGTATTTAATAGATTACCTTTAGAAATTAGGCAAATAGAGAATTATAATTTATTTATTAAAAAATTGAAGATACACTGTGGTATTAGGTAAGCTGATTTATGTAAAAATGAGTTTATTGATTATTTAGTTTTATGATAATAGCTTCTATACTGTGTACAAAACTGGGTACTCGAGGCCTAATTAGAGTTCATTGTAACTTAAGTGTGTTTCTAAAATTTTGAAGTACCTAATATATTATTGTTTTCAAAAAAAACCGGTTGGCTTTACACGTTCAAAATCGACAGAGGTAAAGTAACTTTTGAAGGCTCTTTCAACTTAGTCTAGAAATGGTTTGATTGGATGAGATCAAATTCAATATGGCGTGGCAGCCAGCAAGTTAGTTTTGAATATGTGTTTTCATGCGTATTTCAATTATTTTGTTTCGAGATTTGATTGACCTGTCTCGCATAAATAGAAAAAGAGAGCTTAATTGTAATAAATACAAGTTAGAAAGTAATAGAGAGTTATTGGAACTATCAAATACTGCCTCGCAGTATTAAGGATCAACGTTATTTTATTAGTGCATCAGCACTATTTTTCCAAGAAAAAAACAGTTATTGGAAGACTGTAGTAGGTGCTAGAGTATTACCTTATTTTGTATTCATAATTTTGACAGCTGATAGCTATGTTTATAAATTTCAGCCTCAAAAAGTGTTTATTTTTGTTTGTTGATTTCCTGCTGATACCATTTTTTGATGTTACCCACAGAAAAATGGAAAACTATTGTAAAAAATAAATTTTCTAAGTAAAATTACGTCATCGTCGAAAAGCGAAACGTCAAAGTCGTCAAAAATGTCTGAAATTTGAAATAAGGGAAGTTTACTGCCTCGCACTAACCATACACAAATAAAGACAAGCAGTAACCTTATTATGGGAATCCTTATTTTCGGACCCAAATGCGCATGCGTAGATGTCAAAATAAGGCTAATTTAAATACTGCTTGTCCTTATTGCACGTCCAATAACTCTCTAATAAGGGATGACATGCGCGCGCAACTAGTGGGTTTCAGTGTAGCCAGTTTGTATTGTTGCAGAACAAATGTAGACAATACAAATCGAACATTATAACGTTAAAGAAGTGATATAGTGTTAAGTGTTTTACAACGCCTTAAATCAGATAGAAGAAGAGCTTTAAAGTGTATGTTATTCACATCGTTGGCACTTTTATTTTGATAAATGTTTCATCCGGCAACATTGCACAATAAAAGTCCAAAGGAATATGTCAAGTATAATCTGACATAATTTTAAACAACACTGCGGTGAGTTCAGACCCAACAAACACAAGTACGTCTTTAGTACGTCCATAATTCGTACTTATTCGGACGAAAGTACGTCCGTGGACGTACTTTTTAGGTCCCGCCGACGTCCGAAGGACGTCTTTAAGACGGTCGTTTTCCACAAAATAGTACGTCCGACGTACGTACATTCAGGGACGTACTCAGTACGGCTTTTTAAGTACGTATTGGGGACGTACATTAACGTACGTATTTAGTATAGCTTGTCAGGCATGTGTTTGGGACGTACAGGGTTTTCCCATATATTTTTGCACCCTACCGGAACTGGTTGATTGAATAGGTATCAAAAAGATGTAAATACAAATGTTGTGTTTACACCTTTTTGATACCTATTCAACTAACCTGTCCAGATGGGGAGCAAAAATATATGGAGAAAAACCTAAACATAGAGGTAGATATGTATTTATGTGTAGGTATCTTTATAGTGAAAAATAAAACCATATAAATATGTATTGTATTTTCAAGTTACAATTTTCATACTTAATAAATACCTTAACAATTAGACTGAGAAACTGAAAAAAATTAACACAATATCAAATATAACATACTCTTAAACTTAAACTTAACCTTAAACAACAGTACATAATATAACAAAAAAAATTAAGGAAAAGTGAAGAAAAATTCGAACCTTAAAAAAATATAGGTAGGTAGAGAAATAGGTAGGTATCCTATAAAACAAACATAATAATATAGAAAATTGTAAAAGGGCATAAACCAGAAAAAGTTTCACACAGTAATAATCTTGGTAAAAGTATTATTATACACACAAAATAAATATAGTAAAGTGTATAGCCAAGCCGCGAAGCTGCCAAGCTATGAAGCTAAACACTTGAAGCACATGCCGGCGTTGCTGCAATCAATACAAAATTGTTCTCGCGTCACTTAATTTGGCAAAAAAAAACAGAAATAGAAGAAAACAAAACCTAACACCAACTCAACACTCTACAAACAAACACAAGAGAAAAAGGCAAAAGCAGGCAGAAACAACTCAAGCGAGGCGTCACATCAAAATATGAACAGATGAACGATGAACCCCCCGATAAGCTGTGGTCGAAGATGCCAGAGTTGCCAGATGTCAAATTCAAAATTATCAGAAAAAGTTTGTGTCAATTTTTTTGACTTTCATCTCTAATCTCTATTTATATTTTTCTAACAAAAAAATTAACCAAAAACTAACGGTGCTGTGAGGTCAACTCATTTCTAGCTGGGAAGTATTTGGTGCGATCACCCGTACGTCAAAACCTGAGGTCAAAACCACCAACCAAATAAATGTTTAATTTTCAACTAAAAATTTTAAAGATATGCATTGAAACTGTAGTTTCATTCAATTATGGTAGATTTAGCTTGTGATTATCGATTATTCAATTGTAGTCAAAATGATGGTAGATTTCGATAATTATCGGGTCCTTGGCAACACTGCACCCTGCTGTTGTCAAGCGGCCGACGTCCCTTGCTTTCCAATGCTTTATTTCATGTTTATCTTATCTTGAAATTTGACCATTTATTTAGGTCAGGTACCTAAATGAAATATAAATCCTTGATTATATAATATGACCTGCCTCACAAAACGTTCATAATGACTATGTATTCGTATTTATTAAGTTTAGATCTAAGGTTTAAGGAAATCCATGTCAATCTGACCGGCATTTTTGGGTTTAGGTTTGGAGGTTAATTTGGAAGGCTACCTACCACTCCCGTATCTTTTGCTCGGAAATTGCATATTATTTAAATAATATATCATGATCAGAAATTAATAAAAAAAATCATGAATAGATGGTAATGATCCAGTTCGTCTTGTATTGTTCGTCTTTGAAACGAACATGTACGTCTTTTATAAGACGTACGCATTACAGATTTTCACGTACGTACTTGGTACGTACTTTTTTGTCTGTATATTAATACAGCCTTTCACGTACGTACTCAAAACGTAGTTTTACATCCCCGACGAACCGACGTAAAACGGACCTAAAATGTACGTCTTCAGTACGTACTGTGTTTGTTGGGGAAGTAATACGTAAAGTATTAGTTTGCTCTTTGTCAAAATACACGTTACAAAGAAAGAAAGGAGCGATTAATTCTGAACTGGCACCTGAATAAGAATATGACGCAAGCCCGTAACAAACTCGCTTTTCATTGGATGCTCTCCTGTAGCCCACGAGTTGCGCGCGCAGTCAAGGTAATAAAAGATAGGTGGATTCACACCAGATTTGGCACCGCCGGTAGAAGGGGAAAAGTAGGTTTTGGCATTAAGCATTACCGTCTTTAAACGCACTCCGGTTAAAATGAATCGACGACTGCCAAAAAATTCCGGTAAAACTCACTCAATTTTAACGCCCGGGTTACTTTTCATGCATCCGTTTATCCGTCAATCCGTTGATCCGAAAGTATTCCTATTGGCCCAAAATTTTGGCGTCAGGAATATTGGATCAATAGGAATACTTCCGGATTCTGGCGCCAAAATATTGGGCCAATAGGAATACTTTCGGATAAACGGATGGACGGATAAGGGAGGATTTTCATGCATCCGTTTTTCCGTCGAAATATGTCCGTTTAACATTCTATTCTGACATAATCGTATATAAATATGTCAAAATAGAAGACTTTTCCGACGAAATATGTCCGTTTAACATTCTATTCTGACATAATCGTATATAAATATGTCAAAATAGAAGACTTTTCGGACATATTTCGACGGAAAAACGGATGCATGAAAATCCTCCCTAAACGGATGCATGAAAAGTAGGCTTTATGCACCGTATGAAAAATCTCGATTAACTCCTTACGGTGCATTTGGGCGTAAGTTTAGTCGAACCTGCGCTTCAGCTCAATTGGATAAATATTAAAAAAGTTACGCGTTTTTTAATATTAAAACAGTTATGGCTCGGAAATTCATTGCTGTGACGTCATATCATCTCTCACGTCGAGACAGGTTAAAGGCCGTCACACACGGTTTTGCATAACGCAATG